ATTGCCAAACAGTTGTACAAGCGTGTCGAGGAAGAGAAGCTTTTGCGCGGTAAAAGCACCGAGTCAATCATTGCCGCTTGCATATTTATTGCATGTAGACAGGAAAATGTTCCTCGCACATTCAAAGAGATCTGTGTAATCACCAGAGTGCCCAAGAAAGAAATAGGACGTTGCTTCAAGACCTTAATCCGCAACTTCGAGACGAATGTATCGACAATGACATCGGAAGATTTGATGTCACGATTCTGTTCGATGTTAAAACTTCGAATGGAGATACAAAAGACCGCTCTTGAGCTAACCATTAAAACGAAAGAGCTCGGAACACTTGCGGGAAAATCTCCTGTCTCTGTCGCCGCGGCCTGCATCTACATGGCTTCATGCCTTTACAACCAACCACAATCTACAAAGGACGTCGCTCAGGTTACTGGTGTATCTGAGGTGACCATAAAGAATTCATATAAGCTATTATATAATGAGAAGAAAAGGTTGCTGGATCCGAATAAGCATAATTACGAAAATCTGCCGTCACCATAAACGATAGTTGACTAAAGTTCTTGTCAGATAAGAAGCAAATTGATGATAATAATCTTTCATCTCTTTAACATGTACGAATTCATGATCTTTAGTTCTTTCTATAAGGTAACCATAGTCAATCTAATCGATCAAAGATACATTTACTGGTTATCATCATAATAGGTGATCAAAAAAATACTTCATTTGAATTATGGAGGACGCCTTTATTTTTTTGTGACACCCATTAAATCTTTTTCAAAGAGTCTAATCCGTAGAAAAAGAAAAAAAAAATTTTTTTTTTTTTTTTTGAACATTTCGTCCGAATGAGGTTCTAGGCTATTGTTTATTATGACATGGAATTTTTTTTTTCATTAGAATAATAATAAACTAGCATGGTCATGTTCTACATACCAAATACTCATATAATTAAATATTATAATCAGAATACTACAAAAACTATATGATCGTTATTCCATGTTATTACAAGGTCCGTGAAGTTTGTGTTCTCCATTATTTTCAGATCTCAAATGGTAATAATAAAGACTGATGAAATTCGCCTTAACTATGTGTTGCCTGAATATAAGAATCCTTTGATTCTTGGACTCAATTTACATCACGGTTCTCAGTAACCTGAGTAATAGTAAATTAGTTATGCAAAATACACACCTATCAAGATTTATAGAAAACGAACACAGATGTACCAATTAGAGCAGTCGTGGAATTGACAGAAAATTACCCGCAATTTAATGACAGACATCACTCCAATTGAGCTTTTAGCCTGGCAGCCTTAAATCGTGAAACCTTTTTTGGTTTATCAGCCATTGTGTCTTGGACTTGAGGCTAAATAAAACGATGGTTAAAATAATATAGAAAAGGCCAAATGCATATTATGTAATTTTATCAAATTTATCTTACTTGAACCCCATAAGTTTTACTTTCCAAGGATGTCGAAAGCCCTCCTTGTTGGGAAATGAAATTAAGGCGTTTTTGTTGGTACTCTGATGCAATCTGAAAAATTCGAGATGTGAAAATCAACGATTGATATCCAATAACGAAACTTGATCGCACGATTCGAACCTCTTTCATCCATATTTCCTTTTCTATACTGTCAGCATCTTGTTCCTCACGTGGTATTTCCTTCTCTACTACTGTACTTTTGACTGCTAGCTTCTTTTCTGATCTCGCATTTAACTTTGTATTCCGTACAAATTTTTTGCCCGCGTCAACCTTATCCTCTTTTGAGGGTGATTTTGTTTCCGTCCTGGCATCCATTCGATGTGTGACTTCTTCAACAATAGTATCTTCATCCCTTCCTGTATTTCTAAGCATTTGAGTGTAAATATCAACTATTGAGCGGCTTGGTAGCAAATGTGTCGCTTCTTCGGGTGTCTTTGAAACTGAACTTGAAATTTGATCGGCAAATGTAACTTTTTTGGTTCGCGGAGGATCCTCCTCCAGTTCATCTTCATAGTCAGACGATCCACTAACTTCGAAATCCTCGTCATCATCAGAATCTATTGTTTCCGCAAGTTCTTGTTCGTCTTTAATAAGTGCATCAAATAACTGTTCATCTTCGACACTCATCGTTTGCTTTATAGTGTTCTCTGCGAAAAAAATATCGCGATACTAAATGATAAATATCGAAGATCTCAACAAGTGTTATTTTTTGATTTTGGGTTTTCACCTGATTCCTTTGATTTTCTTTGCACATTGCTTTTCACTTGATCTCGTCCTTCATTCTCCGTTTCATCCTTTTCAACTATCTCCACAAAAGGCAAACCCTCTTCATTTAACTGCATTCGCGTAATTTTAATAAATTAATCAGGTTAATTTCTAAAGTGTGTAAAGATATCTAACCAAACCTTACCACCACGTTCTTTGTGCTTCCTAGTTCCAATACATCAGCGGTCAAACCGACTTTGGCCCTTTGATTTTCGAGCTGAATTTCCAGATCCTCGATAGTTTTTCTCACCACTGAGGCAGACAATATCAATAAGGTATCACATATTTCATTCATTGTGCAACATTTCAACATTCGAAAAACCTACTTTCAATCCTCCTCTCTACGATTCCTACCGCCTGTTTCGTTGAACGCTCCGCAAACCAATTATCGCCAAGCATTGCCATTATCTCATTAGTGTGAATCAGCTTCCCTGGCATAAACGCTAATTTACCCAACGGAATCTAAGAAGGGGGAAGAGGATGCACGTTCTGACAATAAACTGAATGGATCTACCTGTCTTGACTTCAATAAAGCCGCTTATGCACCATCCTTACCATGACTTTGTACTCTGTCTCCTGATCTAGTTCTTCTAAGGTATTCTTTAATGTAATGTAATCGCTCTCATATTTTTTCCATACTTCTAACGTTTCGTACGTCGTCAGAATGACATGTTCGATTTTAGATTGATATAATTTCGTGGTTTCCGCTGTTAATAAAGTCTCGGAGCTTGACGCTTCCATCACGTATAAAGATCGATATGATATAACGAAGTTACAAAATTGATAATCTAATTAATTATCCTGATAAGAGCGTTGCACCAATAGAAACCAAAATACGTGTTCATAGGGAAATACTAGATTTCACGCAAAACAACTTTATTACATTGTATTATTTTTTTTTTTAAGCACTGGTGAAAGATTTTTTACCGATGACAATGTACATTAATTTTAGACTAAAAGTAGATACAAACGAGCTAAATCTATGACTTTATTATTTGAAAATTTTGCCATCCGCAAATTTCTTTCCACCAAGATGACCATCCCAGGCCTATTGAAAAATTAGAAAGTTTAATACAAAACTAGTTAAGAGGACACAACAATGAGAACTTTAACTCTTACCAAATAATCTTCAAAGTCACTGCGGAACGCTGAATTATTGTAATCCTCGACCTTTTTGAAATTAAATACTTCATAATCTGCAGCATCGGTTACTATTCAATGTGATATATACCTTATTAATACTTAAATGACAAAGATCTTATGAACAAAGTATAATCGAAAATTCCAAAGTTACCTTCTTCTGGTACTTCTTGCCCACGAATAACAAAATATCCAGAAATTTCATTGCTACCGTCTAAAATAGAATTATTCATAAAATTTAGAAGTTTGACGAATATAACTGAATGAAACAAAGTGATGACAATAAATCAATAATTACCCTCTCCCAAAACCACCAGACTTCCGAAAGCATATTTACGGGCTCGTTCTAATCTGTTGTAAAACCCACCAATAAGATTGCTACTCATAAAGATCTTTTCCAATTCGTTATTATATTTATAATCCACACGCCAAATTGAATATCCCTCTGGATCAAAATGCTCCCAAAACCAATTGACGGCGTCTGGACGGGTATCATTATTAGAATAGAAACGCTTCCACTCTTCTAAATTCAAACGACTTGGGGGCAATGAGTCCAATTTGCTTTTAGGTTTAGGAGCAGGTGCTTCGGCTTCATCCAAGTCCATCGCCTCGCTTGAGACTTCCCTAGTTTTTTCTTTTTTGGGCTGCTCCTTCTCTTTTTTGGGTTGTTCCTTTTTCTTTGGGGCTATTTATCAGTTATTAAAATTTGCAACCACAAATGATCAATTATAAATAGAAGAATATAAAGCAATTTTTTCACATACGGGTAAATTCAACAGCAACTTCTGCAAGGGCGACATCTCCTAAGATCTTCTTAAAAGCGGGTTGATTAACAAGTGTCACATACCACCTGGTAAGATTCTTGTGGTTCTTTCGAAATTCTGCGTCTAACACTAGTTTGAAAGGTAGGTAAAGTGATGTGGCAACAGTGATATCGGCCAATGTGATACGTTCACCAACCAAGTAGGTCTTTTTCAACAGAATCTTATCTAATACACTCAGTGACTTTTTAAGACCCTCAACCGCTTGGTTGTGCGTCTTTTATGAACGTATTAAAATGTTAATAAACCAATCATCTGCAAAGAAACGACATAAAATACGTACCCCTTTGTTATATTGCGTTATTCCCAAAATTGGATTGATCCAGGTGTTTGCATGAGGAGTAATTTCGTTTTCGGCAAAAAGGACGTAATGAAGCACTTGCGAAGTTTCCTTTTGATTTTTTCCCAGAAGTTGAGTACCTTCTTTGTGGCTAGCCACTAAATATTACCAAACGAAAAAATAAACCAATTTTATAAATACACGTATAAAGATGTATTTCAAACGTTCGTTAATTAAAACTGTGCTCGCTTTTCAGAAAAAACTGTTGTCAATCATACAATAATCTCAGCCAGGGATAACTGTTTTTAATAATTCTCATCATAAATAGCAAGTTGAAACATAAAAGACATTGGAACGTTCAAAATAGAATCAAATATACTAATTAAATATTGAGAATGTCTCACCGTAATACGCAATTGCTCCAGATTCATTGAGGCAAACGCTACCATCAGCACTTTCAAATGCAGGAACCTATAAGAAAAAAAAAATCGAATTATCAATTATATTGGTTTCGATCTCATTTCCGTTCTTTATCATACCTTATCGTGATGGAATTTTCCCAGATATTCTGGGGTTTTGTTATCTTTTCCGAATTCAAAATCCGCAACCTCTACTTCGAGTTGGTTGTACTCGGCAGCAAGAAGAATCTTGAAGACACGAGGATTATTCGGATAACAATAAATTTTCTGTAGATTGCATCAAAACAAAAAGGTGACCAGATTAAAACTTGAAATGTGTTCGGTGACAAAAACGTATTTATTCCATTAAATACGTTTGATGAAAATTAAATGAAAGAGACGATGCGTATTTTCTTAAATGGATTTGTATTTCCTCCAAAAAAAAGATCCCACTTGATTTTTACGAAAGGGTTCTTCGTCGCGTAAACGACAATAAAGTAATATAAAGAAATGAGTACGATTTTACTTACACCAATGTGCATTTTTTAGAATTTGTTGCCTCAAAAATTGGACGGTTCCTCAAAAAAAAAAAAAAAAAAAACGGATCCTAAGAATCAAAAATATAAAAGCCACCCAGCCACAGCTGTCATATGACATACGCAGTAAACAGTTGGCGGAATTCAAACTTGGTAAGAAAGCATTCGCATGTTTCGTGGCATTTGAATTTCGGGTTAATAACGCAACTGCTCGTGCGTTACGTTACGTTAGTTTGAAAATTTACGCATACGTATTTTATCCAGGATAACCAAGAATGAGCCATCGGCCGGGAATATGTTAATGTAATAAATAACTTCTATTTAGATATAAAAATATTTGTAGCTTCGAATGCACTCACTGTGCGATCTATATATTCAAAACAATTATAAAATTTCCGTACTTGATCAAGGATTTTCGATTTATATTATTGGGCGGTCCCCGGATGATCCGATCCTAAATTCGTAAATTTGATTTTTCTTGCCTTAAATTTAGAATATCAAAATCGAAAAAAAATTTATTTAATTCACAAAGTGATAAGAAAAATTCCGAATTATCACATATCACCAGTTTGGACCAATGAGTCTTCCCCCCGAAAAATTTGATACCAAGGTAGAGAGAGGTGTTCTGACCGCACCTATCGTAATAAACATTGAATCAATTATCATTATAATGCTTTTCTATTTAAAAGATTTTATTCATTATGGTATCAATTTATGTCAACTATTACCTAATTGATCTGCAATCATGCCAAATTAACTGGTTTACCAGAAAAGATTTGTTCCAAGAAATGGGACTTGGGAAATTGCAATAGAAAACATGGGACTTATGGATTACATGCGAATGGAACAGAATATTGTCTTGGCTGTTAATCTGTTTTGCTTCTTGACGATTAATATCACCTGACTATAGGTAGTCATTCGTGATTCTCATCTTTACTGTTGCGGGATAATTAATATGACCCGTTACAAATATGTTTGTGAAGGCTCTTAGTGCCTACTCCTGGGCCCCGATAATAGTTATAACTCACTACAGCTCTGCTTTAAGATACAGTAGTGTTTTGAATTAGTGTACCTAGAGTCAGATCACCTATAGTAATCTTTTATTTCATTGTTCTTTAGATTATGGAATTTGCCAATTATACCAAATTAAGAAAAATAGAAATAGAAATTTGTAAAATATATGAATTGAAATTATCAAATAACAAAAATTTTTTTATAAAAATAATAAATGATTTTAATTATATTATAAATTAAAATTTTAAAATAATAATAATTATCATTATAAAAAGTTATTTTTTATTAATAAATTATAAAGTAATATGGATTTTCAATATAAAATTAAAAAATTTTTTTAATTACTTGTTAATAAAGCTAATTTACATTTAAACAAACAAAAAGACATAACTTCAATAAGAAGTTTTATATGTTAATCAATATTCCTTTCGCGATATAAACATTTTAAGAAAATAAATATACTGTATATATTCTTTATCGTATTTTTAAACCATTTTATTATTAATTATATATCTCAAGAAAATTTACTGAACCCATCCAACATTAGCTCTCATAATAAATAAGACAATAATCAAATTCATTATTAAAATAATCGTTTTAAATATGATTCTTTGATTTTAGAAACTTGCCATCATAAAACCACGTTCACCAACTGAAATGCAAATAATAATTTCCGCGTTATAACGTTAATTCGATGGTGGAATTCAGAATACAATGACTGGGAGATGATTAGTATATCGGAAAATTCTGGTCTACGTCAAGGGCCCATTGATATAAACCCCCTCTTACATCTTTCACGTCACCTTGGATTGTATCCTTCAAGAGATTGACGGCGTATTGAGAATCATTACCTAATCGACAAATTACATATACTAATATAAATTGGAACTGTTAACTTGCATCTTTTTTTTTCAACGTTCAAATCTACAATAATAATAATAAAATTTTTTTACCTGGCATATCTTTGAAGGAAAGTGACCGTTGAACTTCTTCCACTCTGTTGGGAAGCTCCTTCAATGGGATATCTATTGATTAAAGAAAAATTAATAACTCGTATAAATAAAATACAAATAACCAATCACTTACTCAATGAACCAGGCAAATTACAAATGTTGAACTGCACGGATTCCCGCACATCAAGTAGAAGGTGAGGCATTTCATTTAAGCGTATTTCATTATATTCCTAACAGATCTTAGAGGATAAATAATAGATGGATACAATGAAAATCTTATTTCCAAGGGTGTTACCTTTGGGTCAACTCTTCGTTCCTCTTTAATTAGATTTACGGAAGGTGACTGGATGAACAGAATTTATAATTAGACATTTTGATGAAAAAATATTTGGCTAAGCCAAATGTACCTTATCTAATGGCCCACTGCCACAAAATTGGACATAATCTTGTAGCGTTTTTATTGTTGGATTTTCACCGCACATAGCACAATCGGGTTTTTTTGATCTAAGTTTGATCGACCTGAAAAGAGGATTTGAGGTAGCCGAAAAAAGGAGTAGACTGTGGACATTCCCATCATCTATAATTATTCCATAAAATAATAAGTAGATTATTAAAAAAATCATCATTGCCACAACGAATCGAATTTCTTACCGTTAATATTCGCAGCAATCTTGATTGCTTGTAAGGCTTGCAAACATCCAATTATTCCGGGCACTAAATTATGCAGACGCAATTATAATATTCATAATATCACAGCTCATCGTGACAAGAAAAAAAAAGCTAGAAAAAATACAAACCAACACCCATGACACCACCGTCGGCACAATTTAAAACAGTCTCAGGTGGTGGAGGATTTGGAAATAAACATCGATAACATGGGCCACCTTGGTAGTTGTAAACGGTTAACTGGCCGTCCATGCGTAATGCACTACCAGAGACCAAGGGCTTGCCGGTTATGACACACGCGTCATTGAGAAGATAACGTGTAGCGACGTTATCAGTTGCATCTATTACAATATCGTACCTAAAATAGTACTAGATTTTAATTAGGAATCCTTTTTTTTTAACATTTAATATTTGATTATTATTTAGTGATAGACCGACTTTTTAATTATATCCAAGGCATTTGAGCTGTCCAAAAGGATATCATATGCAATGCATTCGCAGAATGAATTTAACCTATTGAGGAAAAGATAATCGTAATCGGAAATTTAAATGATAAAGAATCCTTTCATCCACAAACGAAAACTAAATACCATTAATATACCCTTCGATAGTCATCTTTGCTGATTGAGATTTGGATATTCCGATTCTCGATTCATCGTGGATTATTTGGCGATGCAGATTAGAAATTTCAACTTTGTCATAATCTATTATACCAAGTCGACCTATAACAAGGTTGTGAATTAACTCTTGGGAGTTGCCTCGAAAGACACGTTACAGTGACATACCAACACCTGATGATGCAAGATATATGGCGGCAGGAGCCCCCAAACCTCCAGCACCAACAATCAAAATTGATGTATTCTTTATTTTAATTTGACCTTTAAAAACAAAGACTTGAGTAATTCTTGAGCTGAGAAATCAAAAGTCGTTAAGATTACAGAAACAAAAGCTACCAGAGATACCAAAATCTGAGAGAATTAGCTGCCGCCCATATCGCAAGTATTCAGCTACTTCCAAATCTCCTTTCTCATGAACGATCTCATTCTTGACGCTCTTTTTTACAGACCTCAATGCCTCGAGTTGATCTTCCAACTCTTTAACTCGAGTTTTGAGTTCTTCATTTTCTTCTCCGAGTGTTTTAGACATTTTAGACACGTCTTTTAAACAAAAATCGGTTTTTTTAATCAAACAGAATGCCGATCAGATTTGGTCACATGATAATTTAAAAATTCCATTGTTTATTATTCACTCTGGTACAACATCATTTCTCTAAAGAGGTAAAGTATCTAAAGTTTTAAAATAATGTAATTTGCAAATAGAAAAGGACTCGAAAGTGATGCAATGAGTTTATCGAGGGAAGTTTACTCCGAGTAAGATGTTGTGGTTTCACTAAATAGTAAGTTAGGTGATTTTTGTGAAATCATGTTTTTTTTTTTAACGAAGGCCTCTAAACAAGATCCTACCTGTGATCGACCGGAGTAGACAGTGCTAACAATTTATTTGTTGTCTACATAAGTAATGCAAAAAAAAAAAAACAATAAAAAATTTTTTTAACTTACATGTTGATGTATCTTCCAAGTATGCAACCTCCAATTCTGACTGTGTTAAATCTAAATCTTCTTTAAATGTTCAATGATTAGCATGGTTTAAGCTAATTTATAAATAAACATTCACCAGAGATAAGCAAAACCCGATTACCATCACTGCAAGAGGAAGAATGATCGAGTGTTTGCTTGCTTGTTGGTTGAAGTCCTTAAAATGATAATGATTCAGATTACTCGATTATAATAACTATTCTTGAAATATTAATTTTAATTCGTACTCGATTTAACAGAATTTAGAGAATTGACAGCGCCTGCAGGATTGATGGTTTCGGAATCTAATTTATTTCCATCAGGTCGCGGTTTGAAAGGTAAGAAAGCAGCAACATCATCCACTTGTAATCTTGCTAATTGTTCACTTAATGAATCCTCATTACTTTGTCTCATACTATCATAATCTTCATCCAAAGAATCAAGATAATTACTATGTTCTATGACATTCTTTGAAAGTTCGTGAGCGTCAAGTGGCGACAGTGAATTCGACAAAGTTTTGGATAATGGCAACGATAGTGATGCAGCCGGAGTCGCATATGAATTTGTTGTTTGAGACTCTATAGTTGACAGATTAGTGGTTGGGAAAGTCTCTTGTTTAGGCGTCACCTGAATTGGTTGTCTTGAAACCGGATCAACAGTGGTGGTTATCGTTGATACTGACGAAGAAGTAGACATTAGTCTTCTGGAAGAACTCGGTGATCCAAAGGGGGGAGGAGACGGCGCGACATAAGCCTGAGGTGTTCTCACCTCAGGTGGAGGTAATGGATTTTTCGCTGTGAAAATAAGAAAACGGAATGTAAAATCTGATCCACGATTACACTAAAATTTAAATTACATAATTGAAAAAGAAAAACAAACATTGATACGATGATCCAACTTCATTGACAGGTTGAGCAGCGATAGATGAGGTTGATCCATTTGTAGGTTTCCGACCATCTGACAAGCTGTTATTACTACCTGTCCGTACCATCTCCTGTGAACCTGCATTGGCACCACGAGACGTTACATATTGTTCTCGACTCGCATTTGATAGTACAGAAGCTGGCCTTTGACTTCCGGCGCCCACTAATCGTATCCATTTTTTACGTTTCATTAATGAATTCAAACATGATCATATTGAGGAAATTCGTAAATTAGCAACCTACAGCTTGATGCCCTGTTACGACTACTGAATGTGCTGATATTACTGGCGCTCAATGCTTCACCCAAACGTAACTGCATTTGAACATCGCGAAGTTGTGTCTCATATAAAAAAGCCGCATAGCGCAAAAGATATGGCACTGGAACATTCAATAATTTCGAAGCTGCATTCCCTGTATAATAGACCCAAATTTTGTATTAAAATATAATGATGGAATCTTTAGTTAAGAAAATGAGAAAAAAGCTTTAACTTACTAACAATCAATGTTTTGCCGTTTATTTATCGTGAGAATCTCCCATAGCTTTTGTTCCATTTCGTCCGTCCAAACAACCTAAAGACGTTATGTTAGGTAAACTGCTTCATAAAAACATTCCTCTTTCAAACTTACAGTAGGTGGTTCAACAAATCCTGGAGGTCTTTTGTAAGGAATGCGTATGACAACGTGTAAGGGTCTTTCGGAAGACATTTTTACTTGATAGAAAAAATTATGATGCGCATATTTGTAGGAAATTTTTTAAACTGACTTTTTTAGTAATCAGTAGTGTAACAACCGCAATTTGAAGATAAACCATTTTCTACCAGTCTGTCACAGTACACATCCTATCATGTCAAAACAAACCAAGGCTCTTGGAGAAGAAGTGTGGAAAAATCGTGTCGAAAAGATCGTAAGCATTTGGAAGTGTGACCTGATATTTCTGCACAAAATCATTCACTCATCTATTTTTACTCGTTACAGAACGCCGAACTTTTCACATTAACGTATGGCTCGATCGTCGCACAACTCGTTAAAGATCATGAGGATTATCAGGAAGTGAATAAACAATTGGATAAAATGTGCGAGCACTGCTGCTTATTCCTAAGTCGCTTTCGTTGTATGTTTTGAGTGATTAAAAATTTGCAATTCGTTCGAAAATTACTAAAAGGGGTTACAATATTGGAGTTCGATTAATCGAAGACTTTCTTGCCAGATCAAGTTTGGGACGTTGCTCGGACTTTCGAGAAACAGCCGACGTAATCTCAAAGGTCTGATTGTTCTCACCGTTAAACTATTAATCATCGAATACTACCTAACTTGGATTACACCTGATAGGTTGGATTCAAAATCTTTTTAAACATTACGCCTACTTTGACAAATTGGTCTGCAAACGGAAAGGAATTCTCGCTTATATTTGATGAAAATCCTCTAGCCGAATTTGTGGAATTGCCCGATGATGGAGCATCTGATGAGCTGTGGTATTCGAATATATTATGTGGTGTATTAAGAGGAGCCTTAGAGATGGTATTATTATTATTATTATCATTATAACAACGCATCATCTTCTCTTTAATAAATTTAAATGATTTTTTTTAAATTCTATTAGGTTCAGATGCAAGTTGACGTAAACTTTGTAAGCGACGTTTTACGAGGAGATGATCAAACTGAAATGAAGGTGAAGCTTGTTAGGTATCTCGAGGAAGAAGTCCCCGCTGGCGAAGATTAGTTTTATGATAGATCATTCGATACGAAGAAGCAATTGAGCAAAAGACATTTTATTGTCGCTCTGATCAATCATTCTCTTCGTCATCTGATGTTAATGGATTATCGTCAACATCTTCTGCCACGTTTTTATTGTCATCTTTTTTTCTTCGTCTCCTTTGTCTTCTTCCCTCTTCATTGAATTTTCTTTTGGGTATTACCTCCAAAAATGCTTTCTCCCAATCTTTATATTCTAACCAACGAACAAGAATCTCAAATACTAATTTAACATTGTGTATAATAGAGAATATTATCAGAAGATTCAACGAGTAATGATAATAAAGTAATAAATAATAGAATCACTATTACTTGCCGTGATTTATGGTTAATATTTTCCTTGTTGATAATTGAATGTAACTTCCGATGGGCAACTGAGCTGTCGCTATTCCCTCTTTTTTTGCTTTGTCAAAACATATGTTCTGAATTATATTGGAAGACTGAGTCAATATCGGTATTTATTGCAAATACCAAAAATATTCCGGTATACCTTGTGTCGATTCTTATCCACGATTCCACCAATTATGTAAACTTTACCTTCGTCCAGCGCGTTTAATGTTTCTGTTGCATCGGCAGTTAAATAGATCAAGTCTTCTTTGTTAAAACATTCCAGATAAGGTCGATCATCGAAAACAACCTGCTTCCAATTGGCATGATCTTGAAGTTTAGTATTAAACCGCTCTTGAACACGACCTCCGTATGATGTAAAAAATAAATTAACCGGACGCGTGGTTGAACGATTGGCTGAGTAACATCGAGCCAACTGTGAAGTTACGGACTTGATTTCCTTTAATAAATTCAGAAGTTAACCTACAATCCCATTATCATGCTGCTCTTTCATTTGAAGAAATCATTATATAAGTTACCACATCGGTCATCATTGTATCAAAGGATAAATCGATAACAACCTTCATTTCGCTGGCAATCTGTTGAACTTTGGTTTTTTTAATGGGTGGAGGCCTGAGGCCTACGAGAATTTAGAATTTCTAAGATCACGTTTACAAAATGTTTAACCCATTACATATTATAATATTATCTTAATCATAAAATACCTAATTCAATGGCTCTTCTCTTTTCGAGCTTTCTCTTCTTATCCTTCTCTTTCTGAGCTGCCTTGCGAGCATCACGTGTTTCCTCCCAATGCTGACGCTTTAGAAGTTTTTTCAATGCATTCTTTGATAAGGATGGTGTTTGCTGCACAGTTACCGAGCTTTCTCCATTCACAGGTTCAGGCTTATGAGGAAAACTATTGCATATATCATCGGAATTGTTAATTCCCTCCGAATCATTTGTTTCTTCCTGCATTAAGCTTACAGTGAATGGTTACCCTATGTTGCCCAATTTTGAAGTACGGTGAAAATCTCTGGCAAATATGAAAAAATACCGGAGATGACGTATGATCATTTTTGGATACACAAACAATATATAATTAAAGAAAAAAAAATTATAAAAAAAGAAAGTCGATGGTAAAAAAAAAAAATCGACCTTTTTTTTTTGCCACTATCATATAAATGAATATCAAAAAAAGATTAAAGAAGCAGCCTTTCCATATATTTATATGCATTTATTGAAAAAATATTCAAATGTGATATACATTATCTAGAACAAGGTATACAATAAGTGGAATATAAATTTCAGAATAAATTTTTTACTTTTAATATAAATTATTTAAACCAATATATAAAAAATTTAAAAATTATACTGTATTAAATAAATTAAAATTATTTTAAATACAAATATTTGTAATATACAGTATGTAAGTGCTAAAATTATTTTATACAAATTTGTTTTACAAGTAATAACAAGATTTAAATAAATATTCATTGGATAAAAAAAAAATTAAAAAAGATTTAGAATATATAAAATAATTAATTTCTTAAAACTTAAATATTTGCTTATAAATAGTAAATAATATAGTATTTAATTATTTTTAAAGTTTTTTATATTCATAATTAATATAATTAAAGAAATATTTAAAAGTTTTAATTGTATTGTTTTAATACAATTAATTTGATTTTTTTTTTTTTTTTTTTTAATAGGTAAATATTATTTTTTTATTTAAATTATATAATATCAGATATATAGTATAGTGCAAAAAAAACCAGAATTATATAATTATTTATAATTCAATAATTAATAAATCAAATTATATGAAACTTTATATATAAGTTTTTTAATATCTTAACAATAAGTTTGTTATAAGTTATAAATATAAATATAATAATAATAT